AGCCCTCTTTTTCGTTGGAAACGATTGGATGCACACACACTCACAGGTCCACTTTCAGAGGTCAAAAATGGTTCCTTTGTCCCTCAACCTGATCAGTGGTTTGTCATCAGCCGGTTGGAGCCTCCTCTCAGAGGAAGAGCCATTCAGCTGGTGCTTCACCGGCTCGCCGCTCTCACAGGCCATTTATGCACATCCTCCAGAATATGTCGCCCGCTCCTACTTTTGAAAGTGTTTATTCAGAAAAGTGCTCCAGAAGACGTAAAGGCAGAAAAACCTGGAGGTCTTCAACAGCTACTCGGCTTCTACACCGTCTGAGAGCATCAAATCAGAGAAATGTACCAGTCCATGTGTCAGGGGGCTCTGGGCTTGTGTGTGTGTGTATGTGTGTGTTTGAGTGTGTGTGAGTGTGTGTTTGAGTGTGGACGCGCCTGTCTTATCGGCGTGTGAGCAGCAGAGGAGAGCTTCAGTTTTGCCTCTGTATTACACTTATTGCAGCAGGCCGAGCATAAAAGCTCCCGGCGAAAATGAATCAGTGCCGGTATGGTGGCAGTCCGGGCGGATCTTTTAAGAGCTAAAGGCCAAAGCTAATAAGTGCTTGACTAGCAGATGTGTCCGGTGACAGCAGAACAGAAAAGAACCGGCACTCTGACCTTTTTGCTCGTGACAATTAGGATAGAAAGAAAAAAGGATAATGAGATCAGAGGCAATGGCTCCGTGACCAAGACCCATTACAAAGAACTGTCTATCTTCCTCCTCACAGATGTAACTAAAACGGAGGTGAAGTGGTGACTGGTTTAGAATTTGGACTATCAGTTTAATTTTCCTTTTGGTACCTTTCTGCTTTGTATTGTGACAGTATGATTAGATTCTTTTGGACTTTGCAAAGGGCCTTTTTCCTGTCTGAGTCATCCCCCCTCAGCTCTCCTAAACAATAAATGTTCAATTATTATTATTGTACAATGGACATTTTATTGGATACTTCTCTTATTCCTGTAGAGATGGAGACTGTTTGGTAGACGGCATCACCTGACGCAAAACCCACACTGCTGTGCAGGCTTGTGGAGAAAATAACAATGTCGCAACACCGTTTAAAGGCACAACGCTTTAACGAGGCTGCTGTGTAATCAGAGGCAACTTGATGCAACCAACAATGTTCGGATGCGTTGACGACTCAACGCTCGCCGAAATAAAAGAGCCCCGGGGGCCACGCTTGCAATTAACTGGACTTCATTAACTGGAATCGTACTAATTGGGCAAGCTTTTTTTTTTCTCTGATTGCTACAAAATTACAGTGAAAATTGGTTTTTCGAGGAGACGGAGCCTTCGAACCAAACGGAGTTGCTCTCACCTAATCTCAGCCTAATTTTCGGCCACAACTTGTAGACACAACTTGTAGATTCAAACAATCTAGCCCTAGCGAAGTCAAAGTAGTAACCGACTGGCATCGGGGTGGATTCCTTCATTGTTCTTCCTGTTACACGAGCAGGTGGAGAAGCGGTGGAGCTGCACGGTTCTCCTTCCACTCTGCTGTTCGGGAGAAATGGACCCTGACGTTGGACGTTGTGGTCAGCAGCGTGCCCTGTCGGGGGGGGGGGGCACGTGCAACCCAAGAAAGAGCTCCTGAAACATTAATAATGCACCGATATTCCATCTCCCGGGGACCGGAGGGCAGGCCGCATCACGTGAAAAGAGGGGAGGGCGGAGGAGACGCGAGAAAAATGGAGAACGGAGACGGAGACGAGTGGCCGAGAAGGAAGTGCAGCCCCGGAGTGAGTCGGCTCGCCATTAGCATGACAAAAGCCAGCCTGGATGGTAATTTCAGCTTCCTGATAACGTGTCAGCTGGACCGAGGGTCTAATAGGCAGCGGCAGGCCGCCCGGCGTCGGCTGTCTCCTCCAGGCATGACATTTCCGTTCAGCCCTTAAATGCATCGTCTCAGAAGTTGAGCTCTGGATCAACACTCCTAACCGGTTTCCAGTCGAGTCGAGCTCTGCTTTCAGTCAAATCCCTTCGCATAGAGACTACAGTGTCACAACTGTTTGTTTCAAAAGCTAAACAGTCCTTTATTTTATTTTTTTTAGGACAGAAAAGTGGTTCTTTTTATTCACAAAGCAAATACAAAAGCTTTCATTTGAATACATTACAAACAGTCACCATAAAAAACGGTAAAACACTGGACTGTTGATTGAAATTTT